ATTGCTGCAAGTGGACTGATTAGTATCACTGGTCTGCAGGGAGCACCATAGCATGCCAGAGGCACAGCCTGAGAGCATGGTCAGCATACTGGCAGACAGGTGCTGCTCAGCCCACCAGCAAACAGAGGCATTTTCAAGCACTCGTTCTGATGGGCTTTGGGAGATCAAAAAGATCAGTTCAGTTCTAACCTCTGTGTCTGCCGGCATCAGGGAAACTTACCTGCTTCACTAAGCGAGTCCTCTGCCGCACCCTGGGCTTCCAAACTGAAAGCACAACATGCCACTGCCCTGAACTGGAAGGCCAGCCAGGAAATGTCACCATAGATCCAGAACTCAAACATTTTGCTTTTTAACACATGCTACATCCAGGCACATGTAATAAAGCAGTGAGACTTAGCAAAGAAGTTAGAAGCTACATGGCAGACTGGTGCCCTTGGATAAGCTTTACAGCATCCAGAGCAAGTCAAGTGGCAGCTCAGGTACAGGGGATGAAAACAAGAATATAAAGCTGGAAATCAGGCTACTACTTTTGGACTCTGGTAACCTGTCCATAGTAGAGAATGTATGACCTCAGTGATGCCTCCCACACAAGAGCTTCAAGGAAATCCTACAAGCATCTCCCTGCACTAGTTCAGTTCAAACTAATCAGTCTGTTGCAAAAGTACAGAACAGCAGAGGCAAAAAGTGCAAAACACTGCAGCTGAATTAATACATTTAGATCTTCCATCGCTGTTCCACAATGTTGTTATTTACTCACCTAACAGATTGCGACACTGGTTCTAGGATGACACAGCTGCCCTGCTGACTACCCCAGTTCTGAGCAGCTAAGGGAATTGCCTTAGCTTCCAAAGAATTCCTCAGCTATTTGTGATTTGGGACTTAGAAGGCAGTGAAATGCACAAACACCCTTGCTCAGTTGTAGGTACTTTGGCATTTGCAAGATTCAGCTACGTTTCTGCCAGTAGGCAGGTAAACAGCCATGTGATCCTGACACCACCCACCAGCTGGACTCTGCCTTCATGTGGGATGCAATCCATTAGCAACACCTACCTGATCAGGCCTTATACAAAAGACAACTGGAAATAAGATTAGGATGGGGGGAGGAAGATCAGGGGGGTTGGACAGCATAACATTTATATTCAGTACTTATTAAGTGACAGCCCTAGATCTACCCCATGCCCCGAGTTGACCCAGGTTTGAATCCCCACTCTGTGCACTGAGTAAAGATTTTAATCAAGGTTTCCCAATATTGTAGCATGGTGATTAGAACACTATCCTATCAGGTCATCTGGGATGAACCTCCGAGTCATCCTGCT